GACTACAACCATGGGGTCCGACATCAAGGTAGCAGATGAGGTCGGGGGTGGTCATCCGAGATAGCCAATCTTGAGTAGTCTGACATGGTGCGCTGGTGTTTCCTGGCCTGCTGTGTTCTGCGTTTTTTACACACACAGAGGTACTGTCTGAAAGCTGTGGGTGAAAGCAGAAAACAGTCTTTACATCGGTGACCCTGGAGGCATTGAGATGTACAATTAAGGCACAGGCGGTGGGGATCCCACGCCCACATATTACGCCGGCACTTTGAGCAGGAGGGCATGATATCTGCAACGAAGCAGTGTAAAATCACAATGCGTCCCCGCCCAATTATGTATACTATAATTTGTTTATCCCACTGTGTGGGTTTATGAAACAAATATTATGACAAACGTAAGACAACATACAATAAAACAAACAATACTTGCGAGGATCCGCCAATCTTTGGGTACCAAGCAAAAGAATATAGAACGTAAACCAGTTCACAAACTGCTGGCTACGCAAAATATTCAAGATGGCTACTTGGAGCAACAAGACACCTGGCCTTATGTTTCCTTTTGAGAAAACGCCAGTAAATGTCTAATAACGTTATGCACATGTTTATCAAACATAGAATGTACAAAATACAAACCGTAGTCACAACACAAAGACAAAACAACATTAACTCAGATAGCAAACACGTGTAGGGTTTGAATCAGTTTTATGTTACAGCAAAAAAACAGGTCTTCTCTCATCAAGTGACAAGAGTAATGTGAGGATCCGTGACGTCACTTCCTTTGGTCACGTGGGAGCTGCGTGTTGGGCTGGCCTCTCAGCTAGTTGGAGCAACTTCTTCAAGCAAAAACCCTCACACAGCTCTTTTCTCTGTCAAGAAACAAGCAGTAATATGCATGAAGGAGTAATGCAGGATAAGTAAAAAATAAATTATATACTATTTTGTCGTGACTACGGCTTACGGTGTTGAAATCTCGCGTAATGCTGCATTGAGCTATGGTAATGTTTATGAAACAGACGATGAATATGGTATATGCGTTCCATTGCGACCGTGAAAACACTGAGGATCGAGAAATGGCATCGCAAATGTCAATCAAATTATTTATGTTTGTGTCTACGTATGTGAAGCAATGGAATTTAGTTGCCACAAGATATTTTTCAAGGTAGTCATTTGCCAACCGCTGAATTTTAGCCAGTAGACAAATTGAAATTTAAGTCGCATTGGCGACTGTTTTAGTCGCAATTTTGAGGCCTGAAACCTTATATTTTTTTACATAAAAGTATGAGCCTGTATTTTTAATAAAGAATAACGACTTGCAACAATAATATTTTTGTGGCAGGCAATTTCTGTGTTACTATTGATACAAATTTTGAAAATTTGAAAATATAAAATATGTATGTTTAGATGAGGAAAAATATATATTCAAGTGATTCAAAACCATTGATAAGAAGAAAAAATCTTCACAGTAATCAGTGAAAAATGAAATAGCTTTCATACCTGATATATGAAATTGTCAGGGGCAACTGCCTGAGTTTCAGAATCTACCACCTTACCCATACAAAGCTTTACTGAACCACTATTATGACGAATTGAGGAACACAAGTAGCAAGTGTTATTCCACGTCGTTGTAATAAGCATGCCTTAAGGAGAAAGGTGATTAATGTATAGACATCGGCAGTCAATTACTGAATTGTTCTCACATGACTGCCATTGACATGTGAAAAATAATCGGTTGTACTTCAGATTGTCAGTGAATCCTGTTGTTCAAGCTATTAAGTATTCTACAATGCTGACAGTGAGGTTGATGATACGCCTGAGTTGTCATCCCCTTCCCAACCAGCCTTGAAATCAAGTGTGTGTGTCCAGACCAAGTAATAATCACTCATAACATGATGTTTGGTTTTCGAAAATTCTCTTTGTTGGTTGCCTTGATCCCCATATAACTGAAACTATTTTTTAAGGTTCTTAAGAGTTCAACACAACGAGGTTCCCGGTATTATGTGCACCATCCTTCACACAGATGTGTTGTTTTGGGAAAAAAAAGAGTGCAAGAAAATATGATCCTTAAAAAAATATCATGATCCCCTGTTCGCCACTCACCACACAAAAATATACTGCAGGCTTTTCATGGGTCCTTTTTAGCAAAGGCTATGGGAAATACTGTCCAACACAGGCCGTAAGAGTCCGATTTGGGTCAATACTCTTGACAAGTAGACTTTGTCTCTGGACAAGTGAATTTTTTGCTTTTTTCCTTGCCCTGGGACAACTGACTTAAGTAAGGTTGCTGTAAGCATTGATATTCATATATCTTCACCATAAATACAGAGGAAACACCAACACTAAACTCTATTGTTTTGAACAAAATATGATATCAACATAAGAAGACACATACATGCCAATCAAAGTAGTTTACATCGTTTTAAGAGGATGATAAACATAAGGTGTAAATCCAAATCCCTGCAAAAAGCAACAGATGTGTTAAATCCCACTACCTAACTCATTTACTAAGCTACATTAAATTTTGAACAAAAATAACTTCTGCATTATTGCATTGCAGAAGGTCTAAACTACAAAAAAATGGATTAATTGGGAAATGTGATGGTCAAAGGCCATAGCAGGGTCAAAAACTAAATTACACCAAAAAACTTTAAATCTTAACTCTTTCAACACCAGTCAACCAGAAGTGTTTACTGCTGGGACACCGAGTTCCCAGAGGCTCTTGTGTGATAGATGAAGTCAACATTTATCAAAGAAAATACCTGCTTGTAAAATATATTTGCTACTACATGTTATACACCATTTGAAAGGTCTGATCCTATGGTTTATAAATATGAAAGTTATGTTTTTCACATTATTTAAAATAATGCATTTACAACTTAATTAAATTCGTTGTAAATAAAAAATGTACGCTAACACGTTGTTAACATCCAGATTAAGGACCAAGGAAGCGAAAACTTGACGATTTTCGGCAAATATATGATTTCATAATATCCACGTACCTATTTCTATTTTATTTTCATTGTTTACGTTATTGGAAAATCATTTTAAAAAGAATTATAAATAGTCTCTGTCATCACCCATTTCCCGATAACAGCGACTGTCCGCTCAGTAAAATGAAGAAATACCCCCGTTTTCGAGGTTTCGTATGAATAACACGTTCGTCGAAGAATGGCATATGACACATCGCTGGAAAGCTTATTGCTTCATCTACACGCTCGTAACATCGACTGGTTTTTTTCCGTAGTTATAACAAGCGATTTCATTGGATTAAAATTGGTTTCTAATGACGCTTTCTTGCTGAAATCTGCTACAAGTTTCGTGATTGGTCAATTTTGAGCACGTGACCTGGGGCAGCCAATCAAATTACAGCTGTGATACCAAGCTCGTGTTCGATAAATTACAGAAGTTTGCGAAAGAATTTTGTTAAATCGTGTTATTCTGAACGTTTTGAGCAGGAAATCACGATATATATTAAAAATATGAACCTTCGTGAATGTATCGTGCTAGGTTACGAGCTGTGACAAAGATTTTTCATGCATATATTTTTGCATTAAACATCGTGTCCGAGCCGAGAATTCAAGGCGACGAAAGCCGAGATGTCATTTGACTTACATTACACGCGATCGCACGAAAAGATGAAAATAATAACTTAGATGTAAGTTTGATTACTTTTAGATATATTTTTGTTGATTTTATATATTACTTTGTATAATATATTTAAAGATTTGTTTAAAACGTCTTTATTTTCCTCTTTGACGTGTTCGATGTGGACCCGTTGTCGAAATGTGTGTCCGAGAATTTTATTTTCAATAACATCGCGGGAAATAGTGAATAATTTTTTAATTTAACGATAAAAAATGTTAAATTGAAGTGGAATATGTATTTCAGACATTGTGAAATGTGATAGATTTAATAAATGAATGATTTTACAGGTAGGTCCATAAAAATATAGTACTATTTTGACGTGACTACGGCTTGGCCGGATAACCGGCCTGCGGTGTCTGGGGACTTGATGCTTCTTGGCCGGATAACCGGCCTACGGTGTTGAAAGAGTTAATCATCTTACAAAATTCTGCATGTAAATAAGCCAATTTGAATTTAAGGTTCAGGTGAAGTAACAATTCTTATCATCCAAAACTGGCTCCAACAGGAGATATAGCTTAGATTAGATCAATCGATATCTACACTGTAGATATCGCTGCAATGAAATTACATCACAATGCTTTGCAGACCATTGTGACGTCACTGGTTACCATGACGTCACAATCAAATGACATCACTAATGGCTCTGCTACTGAAGCTGTAAGCAGTACTTTTTACACTGAAGACACTGCTAATTACTGTCTATAAATTGAAAAAGTTGGAAGAATGATGTTGGATGATAAATAAAATCTCACCCTCGTGTCTTTTGATATCAAATATATCAACACTCGTTGATAAAAGTGACAAAAATCCTCGGCAAGCCTCGGAATTTTTCCACTTTTATCAACTCGTGTTGATATATTTGATATCAAAAGACACTCGGGTGAGATTCTCTATATCAAGACTGATCCCCTTGCATATTTAGGGTCCCAGTACATAAGACTAAACAACTGTTCTTACAAGGTTCATACAGATATGGAACACTAAAATTCAAGGCTTTTCAAGGCTGTCAACTGTTATTTTCAAAGCTTTTTTCAGTTCGGTTATTAGCCATAGTCAGTCATATTTGATTTAAACCAGCATACAATATTACAGCCGTAAGATCTAAAAAGCAGTATGACCATCACACATTTTAAACCCAACAAAGAAAAAAATTAAGTCTGTCATGAATTCTTCAGGGTCTTTGGCACACAAATCTATCACTTGAAAATATTTTTTTATACTTTAATACTTTGATAAACAAGAATCATGTAATTTGTACAAATTCAAGGCTTTTCAAGAGGGACCTCAAAATTCAATACTTTTTCAAGCCTGTACAAATTTTGTTCTAGCTTTTAGACAAGTTATCAGGTTTGGCATACTAACACATAATATCATAGGTTCATATATCTTCTTGCAAAATCGATTCTTGTTCTCCCTTAGCCACATCACAGCATCATATGTATGTCTGTGTCTCTGCCGAAGTGTCTCTAGCCGCCGCCTACTTATGTCTTGTATCTGATTCAGCTCCTGTTGACTGCCTACAATCACAAAGGGAGTTGTCTTTAACAAAGGAAAGTATTTTGATGAAAGAAATACAGTAACAATTTTGAGATAACTTCGGGAAACATTCATTTTCACATTAAGTTTTGAGAATTGCAGTTCTGAAACGTGTGTGTCTGTGTGTGTGTGTGTCTGTGTGTGTGTGTGTGTGTCTGTGAGTGTGTGTGTGTTTTTAACCAGTCCGGATTTATACTGGCTATAAGTGCAAGCCCACTGAGACACCATACCATAGTCAAATATAGACACTCCATTCAGAGAAAGAGTAATGACTGAGCCAACCAGACCTTGTTTATAGCCAGCACCAGATAGGGTAACAACAAGTACCATTTTCTGGTGTGATGCAGCCGAGAAAGATCTTTCTTTCAATAATGATGTATTGAAGCTGTGCTGAGCAGTGTTTTTTTTAAAACTAAAACGGTAAAGCTAAATTGTCAAATGATTCTTGGAACGCAACATGGACTTGACCTTGTATTTCTCTGCGTAAGTTGTCAACTTCCATGCGGATAGTATTGCCTGAATGCTGCACCTGGGTCATCTCTCGGTTTACGCCCCTCATTTCCTGAGCAAGCTTTTCAGCTTCTTGCTGTGGGGACAAATAAAAAATTATGATAAATACACATGTCTCTCAAATTCTCAAAGGAAGATTATCTTCCCGTAACAATTAATGCCAAAATACTTTGTGAACAAGAGTCATCAGAAGTTGATATATCAGAAACGGAGGCCATCTTGTATCTACCTTCCATGCCCGTGTTTGTGTAATTAAGTGTTAGATTGCCAGCCCCTTGAAGACCTTGTCACTGGTTAGTGTCTCATCCTGGCGTTGAATGTTTCATCAAGAAATATTCAACAGTTTTGGAGTTCTGCTCCAGAAAAGGAAAACTGAAGACAGACAGATGAACATGCTGATTGCTATATCCCTGACCCGTGAAGATCCGGGGTAGAATAGGTCTTCAGCAACCCATGCTTGCTGTAAAAGGCGACTGTGCTTGTTGTAAGAGGTGATTAACGGGATTGGGTGGCCGGGCTCGCTGACATGGTTGATGCATGTCATCGCATCCCAATTGCGTGGATCGATGCTCGTGATGTCAATCAGTGGATTGTCTGGTCCAGACTAGATTATTTACAGACCGCCGTCATATGGCTCGAATATTGCTGAGTGTGGGGTTAAAGAACAAACCAACCAACCAGCCAACCACCATTTTTGAAAATGGTGGGAACAAGCATGTGAAGTTCAGCTTCACTGGTCCAGCAGTTTGTGAGGAGATGTTAATGAGGCACAAGGGACAAACATGCCAATATATAAGCTCATTCGACTTTCAGTCAGTTGAGCCAAAAATATCTGCATAAAGTGAAAATGAAAATATAATTTATGAATGACTGCCACTGTGACCTTGGCCTAATGCATTGGTCACGAACAATCTTTTCTGAAATATATGACAAATACCAAGTTTTACTGACATACCTAATAATAAAATGCCTCTTAAGTTATCGTTAAAACAATCTTTTCTTCAGGCTTTCAATCATGTGTGAAAAATATTTCCAATGGCTATAAAGGACACATACATAAATGATAATGTGATATCCCTGGGATGTTCATGTGCAATGTGGTTTCAAAATAAAGTGTTGCAACTGTGGCTGTGAACAAATTTAGACAAAGCCTTTATATATCTACTCTGTTAAAAAAGAATTGCAAAAGTGATTTTAGATGTATATTTTATAAATCATACAAATAATCAACAGATGCTAATCGATTGTTCAAAATTAGCACACAGCATTGTCATAGACCCAGGTTCCAAATGGCACACCAGTGCTTGATTTAGCTATGTAAACCATCAACCAATGCAACCTATTATTGAAAAATACAACCTAATATTTATCTCGACATGCACCAATTGCATGTAAGAATATTTCAAAATTTGTTTCTACCTAACTCTTACTTGTCCACACATAACCAATCTTTAAACACACTCAATACCTCTAGGCTTTATTTACCATACTACATCACTAACCTCGTGTTAGTGGAATGTGGAATTATAATGCCATGCTTTCAGGGCTTCACATCATCAAACTGTGGGTACAGCAAGATTATGTGGACATGTTGCTATTAAGTTTTACAGTAATACATCATTAATGTATGTGACATAGGCAGCAGACCGGCCTCTGTTTCAAGGTGCAACCTGCTTTTGTTTGGTTTAACTGGGTTTTCATGTCAACATCCACCAGGTGTAAGTTAAATCAAGTTCCTTAAAACGAGCCCTGCACACATGGAACACTAGATTTTCAATGTGAAAGTCATCTATTCTCAATATCTTGTATGACCACAATTAGAGTCCCATGGGAGCAATCAGAACCCGAATTGTGGCTTTGGGAATGTTCACCCATTCTGCCTGCTTGTGCCAACTGTCGGAGGTTCTGTGGTTGTTTGTGATGAGCTTGCAGTTGATCAGGTGCATCCCATAAATGTTCGTTTGGGTCTAAATCTGGAGACCTGGCAAGACTTGGATGTAGTGATTCCTGAAAAAGGCTGTTGTCAGTCTTGTCGTGTGAGGCTGGGCACTGTCTTGTTGGAAAATGACGTTCACTTGTTGCATAATGGGAAGGATGTGTGGCTGAAGAATCTCATCCATGTAACATTGGTCCATTCCTTTGCAAGTCTGTTCTACCAGTGTAGGAGATGGCTGCCCACATTATAACACTGCCCACATTATAAGACTAACACCACCAAATCTGTCCATTTTCTGTATGCAGTTTCATGCATAACTTTCCCAGAGACGCCTGTAAACATGACATCTACCATCCTCACAGCACACAAAACATGTCTCGTCATTAAACCAAACTTGTCTCCATCGCAGTTGTGTCCATACTCTGTGTCCTTGACACCACTGATGTTGAAGCCGACGTTGTGGGTCCATCAAAATGACACCTGGAACTGGACATTTAGTGCGATACCTTCAGCGCGTAAACGGTACCTCAGTCTGGAAAGATATCCTCGCCATTTGTGGTATTGCCATAGTTGTAGAGTTGGCCATGGTGGTTCTTTCCAGTACTGTATATGACCGTAGATAAGCCAAATTATGAGGACCAGATCCTTAAGGTGAATGAACAACGCTATAACAAACATTGTCAATGAAAATGTGAAACTTGCGACTAAACATCACTAGACATGATGATTTACAATTTTGATTGTATTTCTTGTTATGCTAGGCATTGTTTTATATGCTAGGATAAAGACATCTTCCCTAGGAAAGAGCGTCCACTAGCCTATTCATCAAAGTCTTGTTTCAACCCTTGAAACAAGTGGCCTTGATGTGGCAAGGGTAGAAACTAGGCTTTGATATAGGCTAGTGGACACGCTTGCCTCAGGAAGATGTAAAAAGATTATCGTGTGTATTAACTCATGAACTAAGCCGGAAATAGCAGTCAGCTTTACACACCTGTTCTCCCAATCTACTGGTGATTATGTTAAAACATACCCAATAATATAATGGAAAAGAATTTTCATGCAATTATCGGTAAAAAAATAGTATCTTAAATTACTATTATACTACAAACATTCTATTCTGATATTGTGTTATTTTACTTGCAGGTTTTACTATATATCTTCAAAATAATGATAGCCACAACCAGGGTAATGCGATAGCACTTTTGTGAATTGTCGGACACTTAATTCGCATGGAACAATTTGACAAATCAACGTAGAGGTTTCACGTAGAGGTTTCACGTAATCCCTCTATTTCCATCACAGAAACATATGTTGACATTTAATCGTCAAACTACAAAAATATTACTTTTAACCAGTCAAAGTATAGCAGTTATGATAAATGTATCCATTTTCTGTCAACTAAGGTTGTTTCAAGGTGTCAATTAGCAGTAATATGATTGTGGTTGCTGTAAATAACGATGAGTTTGTAAAGCAGGCCTTATTGAATGGGGCAAACGGAAGTTTTAAGTATCGGATGGACACCAAAATTAATGTAAATAAAACAGAATGAAAGTTTGATTAAAATTAATTTTAAAAAATAACGTAGATTACAAACATGATGTTAAATTAAACATTTTTTATTACTGATGATGTATGGCCAGGATTAACTTGAGTAATTCAATACAGATTTGTTGATATTCTATTCAAGTGACAGATCATGAAGAGACATAGTTTTAGGTTGGGGGTCTGGCTGATCTACCGCATATAACCTTTTGATACAGATTTCAAGGACCAAGTTAATGCCTCAGCGTATCTATGAGATCTGCTTCTCTAGTAACATACGGTAAGTGACTAAGCCATATGAATCTGTCCTGTGCTCTAGCAATGATGCCTGGTCAACAGGATCTGGGGAGGCCACATGTTGTTCTGTGTGTCTGATAAGGGTTCTAGTCGTGTTATCGTACTTGGTGCTACATGGAAACACCTGCATGGCTATGGCCAAAGGTGATGCTCCTGTAAGCAGTCGGCCGATGGCTTTGTTGCATTGGGTTTCCATCAGTTGTGGCATGTTTTAGCTGTTACCGTGCTGTAAGATTGTGATGGCATGCAAATGAAAACTCACCATTTTATAGCCCAACAAGTGATGTCGCACTTGCATGTCATGCTGGTGTGTTTTGGTGCTAGGCTCTCAAGTAGTTGTGTTTTTGTGAATTTTCATCTTTTCACCAAATTTCTGCAATACCTCATTCTTTCCACACAAATCAATCCCAATCCATGCAGAAATGACCAATTCAATTTTGGTATGAATTTTGTATGGATGTCGGCAACTCTGTCAAATATTTATGATTTTCTACTCATGTGTTTCTTTTTGCAGAGTATACATGGAGCTGCTTTGTGATTCACGATATCAAGGTACAATGACATGCCACATGCCAAGACAGTGAGACTTACGAGTGGATTCTCATTTTAGTCACCTCTTATGACAAGCATGAAGTACCAGGTGGGACCTATTTTGACCCTGGGTACCCACACGGGTTTTTCCATTTCATGCCAAATAACCTACAATAGTTTGTTGAACAAGATGAATTGAAATGAAAAAAATGCAACTTGAAAATAAAATGCATTTTCCCCACATAAATGTTATTGAAAATGTATGGTTGAGAAATCTGCCCATAATATCATTTCCACAATATATTGACTGAATAAGTCATTTGTTCCTTATCTGATCTCACCTGATGATCATGGACAGCATCCACTTGTGCCAGTTCACTCTCCATTGCTTGAAGTTGGTTTCTCATATCTACAGATCTGAAGACAAAACAGGCATAAAACTAGAAAGCTGTTTCCATAACAATGTAAGAGTACCATATATTGCAGTCTATAAAGCGACCCTAGCCTTTAAGGCAGATGCTTTAAAAGCCTTCAAAATCGAATAGACCCCGTCTATAAAGTGAATCGGAATGAGTGAGTGAGTGAGTTGGGTTTAACGCCGCTTTTAACAGTATTCCAGTTATATCACGGCGTGTCAGCTTAATGTGGGAGGAAAGCCCGAAGTGATGCAGGTCTCAGACGTTTACCACTTCGGTGAAACCCACGAGCACGGGTATGGTGCTGACAAACCTAGAGACATAATTGGGGCGAACCGGGATTCGAACCCACAATCATAGGTTTCTGGCGTGCCCAAGGGACGCAACTCTGCACAGCGAATCGCGGCGCCTTAGACGACTGGGCCACCCGTGCCCCCGAATCGGAATGAAGCACATCACCAGCGTATACACAATCCCTACATTTACAATACTAATAAAATCCAAGATATATTTTTTATTTGTATACTTATCCTGCATTACTACTTAATGCATTTACTGCATGTTCTTGAAAGAGCTGTGAGGTCTTCCTGAAGAAGTTGTTTCAACTAGCTGAGTGGCTAACCCTATCACACAGCTCCTATGTGACCACGGAAGGGGTGATGTCACGGATGAGCTTATTACTGCTAAAAAACAGAACATCTGAAGTCATTGTGGGGAGGTAGCTCTGCGACAGGTGGGCCACTTTGGATGTAGTAATGCAGGATAAGTATACAAACATGAAATTATCTTTTAACTTATCCTGCTTTACTCCTTAATGCATCGTTCTCTAACGGTACGGTGGGGGGCATGCCTTCAGAAGTGATCTTAAATGAAAATCCTTCAAAATCCTCAGCCAATCAGTGAAGGCGATGGGCAACCACTAATGGGCCAAAGCTGTGTATGCCTTCTACATCCTCTAAGGTGACATCTCGAAGGTAGTGGCTGGCGAAAACGGTGTCTAAAAGCCAGAAGCAGCCTTCCATATTGGCACATATGGAGCATATGTTGCTGTGAAGTGCTATGGTGGAGGCAACCGCCTGGATCTCGTGCTGATTGCTGGCTCTTGGAGGATCCAGTCCATTGGCCTTGTATGCCTAATGAATGATGGCTCCAAGCCAGAGAGCAATAGTGTTGCAGCCTACTTCAACCTGTGATGTCGTCAATACTGGTATGAAAACGCAGTTATTCTTGGCACGTCCATGTCGAGGTTGTAAGCTCTGTCAAGGAGATGAGGTTTGAGGCGGTCCAGGAGGCAATGGCGAAGACTGGTCTTGGTACTGACGTAGGAAGCCAGGAACATCTGTATCGGGCACAGCTGGAGCCTCCCTCTGGAGGTCAGATCCTGCACATGTGAGGAGGCAGTCAGAGTCCTCAGGAAGGTGGCTATCAGCTTCGAGATGCATGTAAATAGCCATGGGGCCGAGGAAAATCCAAATGGGAGCACCGCCCCATCAAAGATGAAACAAATGAATTTCTTGTAGCTTGGATGGATCGGCACATGTAGGCACGCGTCGTGAGCCTGTATCTTGGACCTTTGTAGTCTGAGCATGGTCATCCACTCCCATCCTTCGAGAGGTCACGGCAAGGCTGGTATGATCCTGAGGACTTGACTTTCCCTTGGTTTTGGCCATGAAAAGTGGAGGAGCTCCGTCCACATGGCTTAAGGGATTTCAGTCTGGGCTGGTAGTTGCCCAACCTGGATGGTTTGAAGGAGGCAGAGTGAGAGACATGAGCCAGCACCTTGAGGGCCGTTTTGTTTCTGGCAAAACTTGATATCAGAGCGTGTGGAAGGTGTAGGGTTGTCGAAGCAGATCCGCCTTAAATTCCAGATCCCAATCAGAGAGCATCAGGTAGCCGAGATGACATGTGGTTGCAATTTATACAAGCGTGGCGCGGCGCGGCGCGGCGAGGCATTTGTGTGCGCAGATGTTCAACCTGGCTCTGTAGGTAAGCCATGTCGGTAGTGAGATGGTCCAGGCTATTGGGATTGCCCTCCAACAGGTCCTAATGGCTCTGGAGGTGGAATGACTGAGAGTGAGTGAGTGAGTGAGTTTGGTTTTACGCCGCTTTTAGCAATATTCCAGCAATATCTCGGCGGGGGACACCAGAAATGGGCTTCACACATTGTACCCATGTCGGGAATCGAACCTGGGTCTTCAGCATGACGGGCGAACGCTTTAACCACAAGGCTACCAGACCTCCCCGAATGACTGAGAGTAGCTTTAAAGAGCGTCTGTGTTTTGTCTCCACGTAACTTGTTGTCGGGGACACGGTTAGAGGTGGGGTGATTTGAGCACATCATTCGATGAAGGTACTCGAGAGAGTGGGCATGGTCCGCAAGGTCATGAGTGGATAGGGAATACTCCTTTCTGTATTTGGGAGCCTTGATTGAGGGTGTGAGAGACAGTTCAGCAAAGTCCTCATCCAGTGCGGTGATTATGTCCTTGATCATGGGGTTGGGTGGGGCAGATGTAGGGTCAGACCAGATAGTGTCTTTCTTGTCAACCCCTGACACCGGGAACATGCCACCAATTCCAACTGTCAGTGAGCCAGTTGACCTCAGATAACGATCCTTCATATGCTGGGATAAAGGAGCCTTCTGATGAGTCCATCCGATATCCCCTTGAGCGCCGAACTGGAGAGCAGCTCTGAGAGCGGCGTCTAGAATGTGAAGATTTGCTCCAACTGTGTCAGGAGGAGTGGCACATAGGTCTAGGCTAGGCGTGTATAAGGATGTCTGTAGCAGATAGACACATTCTGCTCCGTAGGCTCCACGCCTTGCATCATGTTAGCAGAGGTATAGATGTACATCGGGGTCGCAGAGGTGGACATCAGCGCCTGGGAGGAGACAATGATTGAGGTGGTAGACGACAAGGGTAAGCTGCATATTTCATAACAGGGATAACAGGTGACCTACGTGGTAGGGGGCTGTAGCGGGCTCAGAAGCATCTGACATTTTGGAGCAACAATGTTTACACGCCTGCTGGGACTGTCGTTTCTTAGACACTTGGAGGTATTTTGAGAAAGCTGTGGGGGTAAGCGGGAGACAGTCTTTACATTTTGAAGTCTGGGTGCAGATGTATGTGCAATTAAGGCACAGGGGATGGGGATCCCACCCAGAATTATTATAGTGACACAAGAAGGCATGTATCTGCAATGATAGAGTGTAATCACATTGCGTCCCTGCCCGATTATGTACGCTATAATCGTTTGTCCCAGCCATGTGGTTTTATGAAAAATAAGATTACGCAAACAACGTGAAACACCACCACTTTAATAAACAATATTATTGCAAGAATATATAAAAAATGAAGTACCAGGCAATACAAAGAATACAGAACGCATGCCACGACAAAGCGTGACCACAGACAATATTCAAGATGGCTACTTGAAACAAAAATACGCCAGAGATTATCGTGGTGAAAAACACCAACAGGCAATAAATAATCATACCATGGTGTAAATTATATGCAAACACAAACCGTAGGCACAATAATAGTTTACAAGACAAATCACTAGAGTTATCAACACACAATGGATTCAATGAAAAACGTTAGAGTTCAGCACACAGGTCTTCCTTTTATGGTTTGTTCGTTTGTTTGTTTGTTGTTTACAGCCGCACTCAGCAATATTCCAGTTATATGATGGCAGTCTGTAAATAATCGAGTCTGGACCAGCCAATCTAGTGATTGACACCATGAGCATCGATCCATGGAGTTGGGATACGATGACATGCATCAAACAAGTCAGCAAGCTTGACAACCTGATCCCATTAGTCGTCTTTTACGGCAAGCATGGGTGCCTGAAGACCTATTCTACCCCAGATCTTCACGGGTCTCTGTCTATAGGCGACAGCAGTAATGTGCTGATCCATGATGTTACCCCTTCCGTGAATTCCTTCAGCGAATTCAGGGAAACAAAAAGATGATAATTAAACTTGGTCAATTCTGATTTGAAACTTGAGATAAAAAATCACAAGAAATGATGATTTACTGATTAAATTGTATTTCATGTTCTGCTGGGCATTGATTTACATGCAGAGATTAAGATTACTGTAGGGTTATCTATATTATATATGACTATGATTAGGTGCTCTACCGCCTAAACATTACTAACTCTGTTATGCATGACTGAAGAGAGGTGAGAGTGAGCTCCCCTTAGATCATTGACCATGTGGAGGCTGTATACTCAACACTCAGCACAATAAACCTACTATCTTCAAACTATATATACTGTGGTATATTGAGAAGACATAACATGGTGTCAGAAGTGGGATCAGGATATTATTAACCAGGTTAGCAACTACAATAGTCAAAAAGAAGATTTTACTTGATGAACTTGTTAGTGAGCGAAAACTGAAGGTCTAATTGAAGTCCATGTGCTTTTTGTGAAGTGTTGGAAATTTTCATCTGGTGTGATAAAATGGCAAATAACGAAGAGCAACCACAGTTACCTCAGTTATTACCACAGTCAGCATACAGGGTGAACCCACCTGAACAGTTTGACTTCACAAAACCAGAATCTTGGCCAAAATGATCACGTCGTTTTGAACGATTCAGACAGTCATCTCTTCTGACTAAAGAAGCAGATGAAGTTCAAATCAATTCACTCATTTACCATATGGGAGATGAAGCAGAGGATATCCTGTCGTCTCTGAATTTGACAGATGAAGAAATGAAGTCATATCAAACAGTGATTGATAAGTTTCAGAGACACTTTGTAATTTCTCATAATGTGATATATGAGAGAGCTGTATTTAACAGACGTATACAAGAAGATGGTGAGACTGTGGACTCGTTCATCAATGCATTTTAGCTCGTCATTGTGACTACGGTACACTACACGATGATCTAATAAGGGACAAAATTGTCGTAGGAATTAGAGACAGTGCATTAAGTACCAAAATGCAAGCAGATAATGAACTGACACTAGTCAAAGCTGTACAGATGGCAAGACAACGAG